CTCAAAACTGAAAGATTAGTTCGCGTGTACGAGTGTAAAAACAGATGGATATGGCTGCATCGACTCTGCTCGTCATGCTGATCATTTATATATGTATGTGTTTTTTATAGGCTCTACGACGTTCCCCTCTTGATGTTACAAACTTTTCAGCAAACTTATTGTACCCTGTTCAGGGTATAAAAATAGGCATATGTGCATATCATTTTTGCTGTTAAGATATGTAAAGTAAGATATATAATTTTCCACTATCAATCAACCTGAATGTCCCCTTGTATTTACACATTATTAATCATTATTGCCTCACGCACCTCCCTTAAATCGTCACAGAAAGCGATTAAATGAAAAATAATGAAGTAAGGATAACTCCACGCTTTATAAAGTACTCTCATCTCCGCCTGCACAATTCTACATTTTAACGATAGTCCTCGAAGCACACACTTTTCCTCTATTTCTACTACACATTTGCTCTAAATGCGACAATTTTCTTATTTCTGTGGCGTGTTTTTTATCAGTACACTTTTTCTGTAAGCAAGCAAGCAAATTCACTTCTCTACACACCAACAAAAAAATTGTAGAATTTTTTAAACTACAGCTTTTTTGAAAGCGAACTCAATTCCAGAGAACTTATTGTTTTGTTTAGACGTCTTGATGTGCGTGAGGGCATGCGCTGGAATATATGCTTTGTATGCATGTACGTGCACGTCTATTTATAAGCGCCACAGAAACCCAAGCTGTCGTGGCATATAAAAAATTTATACAGTCGCAAAGTAGTTGTTTTTACTGTAAAATATTAACCGAACTGGCTATGTATTGGCAACTTCCGTGTGTGGGAAAATTTTTTTTTGTCATATGTTGCCACTGCCAATGGTTCAATTCAATTCAAAGTTTCCTGCAATTTTTCAGATTCTGCTTCTTCTATTGAGTTTTTGTGTCTTTTTTTAACATTCACTGTTTCTTCTTTGGTTTTTTTTTTGGTTTATTCGCTTTTAGCTCCCACTCATTTCTTCCGTTTATCTTCTCAACGCGCCAGCACGAGTCAACCCACCTCCTCCCACTTGCGTAGATGTTTCACATAATTTTTATTTTTCTGGTTTTCTGCAAAAATACAAAATTTTTTTATGGTTTCCCAGGAATATGTATCTATGTAGTTATAGTGAAAGTCATATGCGCGTGTGTACAGTATCTGTTGGAACCTCATGAGTTCGAATACTTACAGCAAATAATTTTTGTATATTTGGAAATATAAATTTATAAATCAGTTTGGAATTTTAATATTCATTTACAGTATGCTTTATCTAATACATATTTGTCACTGGTTTACAGTCTGAAATTCAAGAAGCAACAAATATCCAATTTTCCGTTATAAAATTAATTGGTAGAGCAGAATATCCGTTCGAAGTTCGTAAATATTATATGTACTTCGAGATTCCTCATAATTACCTTTCTGTTCTATTGTTTCCGATATTTTGTTAAACAAAAAATATTTTAGTTATTTATAACGTAATTTGTTTTCCACAGAATACAATTTGAGGTGATGGTAGTAACTTTCATACATAATTTGGTTTCTTATATTTGGATAAATAAATTCACTTTAGTTTAGTATAATGTTTCTATACCTTTATAATACTATATAAGTAGACTCTTTTTGTAAGCAAAAATTATCCTTGAAAATACTTTATAATACTACCAAGATATTATTAATAAATAGTTTCCTTGTTTACTGAAACATTATATACAGAGTGTGTATTCTTTTTATCTTGGCATGTGTGATCCCAACTATATAGTTTCGAGAGAAAAAACTTAAACTTCTGATGAAATCTCTAGATTTGACTCCTCCGACTCGATTTAGCCATGTCCTTCAATCCGTCTGTATGTACGAAAACTGTTCATTTGACGAAACCGCTGATGTGGGACCACTATAGACTATAGCTGGCATTCAAACTGATTGATCAAAATCAAGTTTTTGTATAGAAAACTGTTTTATTTGACAATATATACTCACGAAATTTTGCGCATATCATTTAGCTGCCATATAAATTAACCGATAAGATCTTTTAATACCCTTTTATTCTATGGGAAATGCATCTGTAAAGGGTACTATAGCTTCGGGCTGGCCAAAGTTAAAGTTTTTACTTGTTTTATTAATATCTTATTATTAATATGGCATTCTTATAGTCTTTGAACATTTTGTAATGCCCTCAAAAATATATTCCCACATAATCCCTTTATAAATATTTTTCTGCAAAATAGAATAATTTCTCATATATTCAGTAGTTAAAAAAATTATGCTGCATTTTATTTTACAGGCGCTTCAAAAACAATTTTAAAATATTGAAGGACTGGGTTTTCACTTCCATATAGAAAATTCCATCAAATTTAGTTTCCCCGCTTAATCCCCGTAATTGCATGCGGCTTCATCATTTATGCTTTAGAGCTTGTTGAAATAAAAATGAGGAAAAAATATATGATTGAAACACATTATTACCGAGTATATACTTAAGTACATCCTATATTTATATATTATATATTATATCGTTGCACGCTTGACTGAGCTCACTTTGCAACAGTCTCAAATATGTATTAAATATTCACTTTCAAGAATTAATAATCAAAACAAGCATCAAAAGAAGATTTAAAAGTGAATTTTGCTTGATTATAAACGCATCTGTTGCAGATACTCGTATATTGATGTTTTGGCAACATATTGTGCCATAAAGTTTATAGCGAATATAAGCAAAAGTAACAAAAAAAGGGTAAGCATAATTTTTATGCGTGCTAGTGCAAAAGAAAAATGTGGCAGTAGGCAAAAGATATATTATATGAAAGACATATACGTATGCAGTATTGGAGATAGAATCGATTTTCAGGAAGGGTTCATTGTTTTCTTTTATTTCTTTTATTTTGTTTTTTTATACTCTACAAAGTTGTAATCTTACATAAATTATCTCAATTACTTGCTCAAAGTTTGGAAAATATGTATCTTATTGTTATAAACAATTAAGCAATTGTGTTCGTCAGTTTACTTCCAGTAAATATATTGACTTACATACATTTTCTAAAACTAGACTTGTAACATGAAGGTAGACAAAAATGTTCTAACTCTTCCGATAACACGTTGATACAACTATTATTATTACCCATGCAAAAACAGTAAGAGATTAGAAACTAGGATGAACTTTATACTAAACACTTTATTGTACCATAATTTTCTTATATTTCTTGACATAATTAGAGCCTTATACTAGTACAAGTAATCCGACCTGACTTAACTAGAAGTAAGAGTCTTATCTATCGATCTTTTATTATAAAATTGATGAAAAGGCTAGAATTAGATATGTAGCTAGCCTTAAATTTAAAAATTTGAGATCCAACACAATAAATAGAACAGCCAAACAGTAATTAATCAGTGTCGAAGTCTTTGAAAATGGCAACTAGTTAAATAAGTTCATAGTACACTGAAACCAATTGGAAACGAAAGATAAAATATCAAAAAATAAAGGGAAAATAATTTACGGCCGATGTGAGATTTTAAAGGTTAAAAACAGTTTATCTCGATTTCGGCAAAATTGCAAATCCTGTAGAAAAAACTTATATGACAAAGTTGTTAGTAATAAAAAGGTCTAAACTTTTAAACTAACACCTTTCTCACATAACCTCAAAAATTAAAAAAGAAATTTTAAAATTCAAATACTCAAATTTCTGGAGTTTTTTATGTTTAACTTGGAAAAAAAAATTCTTTAACAATATTTGGAATAAATTTACCTATCTATGTCTCAAATACATATTTAGAATATTAAGGATTATTTCTTATTTCGACTCAAAATCGTGAAACAATCCTAAATTTCAATCAAAAATTCTCACGTCAAAATTTCTGATTTTTTAAAAAAGTCAGTAGGCTTAATGTTTTTTGAAATCTTCACATTCTGATGCATACATGGTATTACTATGCTGAATTTGCTCAGAAAAAGCAAAAACAATACCCAATGTTTTTCTTTAATTGTTGATATTTTATGGTATCTTTTGGTTCCAATGGTCGTGATCCTACAATGATTTATTTTTTGTTGGCTTTCAAAAATAAACTGATCTATAATGAAAAAAAAAAAATACAGTAGATCTAAACCGAACATATAGCAAACATGGACTTCTACACAGTAAGAGTTCTCATAATCCTTTGTAGCATCAAAGCACTACCAGTTTTTTCACTATTGCTCAGAACAAGTATTCCATTACAGACTTTTATCGAATTTTTACTGTAGTTAACCGAGAAGAATGACTAAAAAAGTATGGGCTCCAATGCAACACTGAATTTTAACACCAGACTATGTCCAAGTAATAAGTTAACTTAAAAATAAAAAATATCACACGTATGTATCAATTACTAGAATACAGAACTACCGTCAATGTAATCTGAAGATGTTGTTGGACTCAATCTTATGCATCACACCATGAAACCTAATAAATATTCTTTGTAAGCATTTTTTTTCTGGTGGACAAACGCCTCTTTTCAAATTGTTCGAAACAGTTGGGAGAGTATTTTCGTGAAATCATTATTAATAGCATTATGAAGTGGTTAAAGGTTAGGTGGCTCCTATTGGGTGTATGAATTAGCCCCCACTGAATTAACCCCCACCGGGCAAAATTACTTAAGCCCCACCAATTTTACAACAAAATTAAAAATGGCGGAAAGTGGGGCTAAAGTCATTTTCGTGGGGATTAATTCTTGTTTTTTAGTGGGAATTCTGTCATGTAAGAATAGTGCACATTTCATAGAAGGGAATTTTTCCTTTTACGAAAGGTCAAAATCACAGTGTACATTTCGTAAAAGGAGAAACCATAATTTTGTAAATAATCATATAATAAAAATCCATCTCTTACAGCTATTTTTTCATGGGATAGTGAATTTTCTGCTGGGGTTTTTTTTGCATTCAATAATAGAGCGTAAACTAACTGTTAAACCGGTTTTGCATTCAATTGTCTAATAACTATGTTATCACATTACATTATATTATGCAAATTTAGTTGTTATGAAATCTTGAAGCGAATAACGCGACGTGATAAAAACATGACTTTAAACTATGAACACGTTTTTGGAAACAGAATAAATAGCAAATTGTTATATGTTACAGAGGAAAAACAATTATATTCCAAAAAAAACTATTAAAAAAGAAAAATATTTTTATGCTTGTTACGTGAAAACATGCAAAGCGAGGGTGTTTTTGAATAGTGAGGTGTGTTATAAGGTTAAAGATTTCATTGATCATAATCATGAAACTCAGGAGGATGCGAACAGGGAATTAAAGATTATGAATAATATGAAGACATCCTATATGGGAATACATCAAGATTCCACTGAATCGAGCGTTCTTGGAAGCATACGAAAAATATTTCAAAGTACTTGCGTTGAGTAGGTTCATTCTTATTTTTATTATTTATTTTAATTAATCGCCTAATAATGTCATAATTTCAGATACCCGGTGGAAACAAAAGATATTGATTTTTATAAAATCCAACGAAATTACCAAAAACTGGCAAATAAGCAATTTCTAATTTCTCCTAAAACGCCAGCTGATGTTATCAAAGCATTTCAAGATGAAGTAACTTTGAAAAAATTTGGGTATACAAAACATACCGGCGATGATGCCTCAACATTTTTTAAGATATGCTGTGATGCAAAAGACTTTGCCTATTGTTTGTTTTATTCTGACAAAATAATAAACCTAAGGAAAGAAAATATTCCTTCAAATGTAGAGAGAAAAATACTGGTTGATGCAACATTTTCTGTTTTACCTATTGGTAGCTTCAAACAGCTTTTAATTATTCACATTGAATATTTTGAAACGGTATGTTGATAATAATATTCAATTTGATAAATTATAAATATTTTTTTTTTTGGTTTTCCTCAGGTGTTTCCTGCTATATTTGTTCTTATGAACAAGAAAACAAAAAAAAGTTACGAATATGTGTTTAACTATATTAATACTAATGTGGTAAAATTAGACGGAGCGGTGTTTATGGCGGATTTTGAAATTGGATTGCGTAGTGCTATAAAAAAAATATTTGAACATTCTAAGCTATTCGGGTGCTGGTTTCACTATTGTCAAGCAGTACGAAGAAATATTGCTACAAAACACAAGAATCTTGCGCGAATTTATTAGGCAAAACCGTAAAGCATCTATATCTTACCACAAAATATTGTCACTCCCATTATTACCGGAGACACACATTGTTAATTGCTTTTCCATCATCAAAGAAGAAATTGCCACTTTTGACCACTTGTTTAAATTTGAATCTTTTTTAAAATACTTTGAATAGCAATGGCTAAAAAAAGTAAGTTGTTTTACATTAAATTGTTTTTAAAAATTATAAATATTCGAAATATTATATTATAGATTGGTCCAAGAAATCTTTCGGTCTTTGGAAATAAGATCCGTACAACATCAGCTGTAGAATCGTATAACGCTGTGCTTGCCAAAATAATCCCAAAATAAGGGAATTTTTTCAAATTTGTGGGGCAGTTACAAATGGAGGAGTATCGCAAAAGTAGGGAATTAGAATTGGTTATCAACAGCGGTGGTGCTTTAGGGAAACCAAAAAGAAAAACAAAGGAAAACGTTATGAGAGCAAATCTAATTGCTAAAGCGGAGACGGACCTGCTTAATAGACTCATAACCGCTACGAGTTTCTTGGATAGAATGGTCTTCTCTAGAAACAAAATAGTAACTGATATGGAGCCCTTTGAAGACATATTCGAAGGTTTAGAATATATGGAAGAAGAATCTGAAGTTGAAGAAGGATCCAATGCCACGGAAGAAGGTGCAGCAAATCCTCCACTGATATGCATAATTTGTTTGGAAAACAAACCTAATATTTTGCTTTTGCCATGCAAACATTTAAAATTGTGCAGTGACTGCACATCTAAAATAGAAGCAGAGAGTGTGGCAAACAATTTTAATAAATTTAAATGCCCTTTTTGTCGTCAAGATGTTGACGAATATTTACATATTTTTATTTAATTATTTTCTTTTTCTCACATTTTCATATTTTCATTTAATTCTTTACCATTTTCTTTTTAAATTTTACATACATATGTATAATTAAATTTTTGTTAAAATTTTGATTTAAAAACTTGAAGTTTAAAGCAAGCAAAATAAATTAAAAATGAAGTAAAGTGGGGCTAAAGTCATTTTCGTGGGGAGTAATTCCTTTTTTTTTCGTGGGGATTCTGTCATGTAAGAAGACCCACGTTTGGTGGGGCTTAATTCATTTCGATTGGTGGTGATAAAATTATTTTCGTGGGGCTTAATGCATTTTTTTTTCGTGGGGACTCCGTCATTTTGGGAAAGATTCACTGAGAAATTGGTGGGGTTTAAGTCATTTTGCCCGGTGGGGGTTAATTCAGTGGGGGCTAATTCATACACCCGCTCCTATTATCACTTGATATATGTAAATATAAATTAAAGCTAACAACAATGGTACCCTTTTCGGTCAAAGCCATCACCATCACTGTCATGATTTATGTCACCAACATCATTTACAACCGATTTGCTCTCTTTAACGTTCAATTTCACTCCTACGATATATCTTGAAAACTAACGTGTTTAAAGTTAGTTTAGAATAGTAGAGGCCAGAGTCGTCTTAACAAAACTTTATGAATATAATATATGTATGCGAAAAATGTGTGTAACAGTTATGTGCTGGTGGATTACGGTTTTTTTTTTTATTTCTTTAATATTTCATCTGTTTAACAATTCACATTTCAGTTTCCTGTGCATGAATAATCGCCGTTTCCGGTGTGCGCTCAAATAGAAAAGAAAACTTTATTTTCGACTTAAAATTTCACTTATGCAAATGCTTGCTGATTTTTCCAACAACTTTTTCTACACCTCTACTCCCAGAGGTGCTTAAGCTTTTATGCATATTTAATAACTGCCCATAAACTGAGAACTAGTTATAAATACTAGCAAATAGTAAGAAATTTTGAATTCAGCCCACGCTCTTTACCGCACTGCGACTATTAATCAGCTGCCTAACATCCTTATCTCATTTCGATAGCATTAATAGACGCGCTTGTAGAAATCATGCGAAGGAGGGATAGGAAGATGGCAAGTAGCAAAAAGATATTTGATTCGTGCGTGGTAGTATTTCGCTGAATCAAAGCTAACTTATGTTAAGTTTCTTATTGAATGTTTGCAAAAATTTCTAGCAAGAATTATCCAAATGGGGGAAAATTACAGACCATTAAAATACATGCCTACATTCGCCTTCAAACTGTTGAAGTTCGATATAATATTTTGTTATATGCACATACAATGGTATGCATGTACCATTCTATTACCTATAAATACCATATGTATGTATATACATATATATATTTACAGCGCAGGGAATTCCGATAACAATGCACTTAAAGTTCAACAACTGTTATAAATAGCAATACAGCCCACAATGTCTGTTATGTAAAGAATTTCATAGAATTCTAGGTAGTAGGATTTCGTTGGCCAAAATTAAGTTATTATTAGACTTTGAGCAGCTAAAATATTCAATTAATAAATTGATTGCGTTTTTAAAGAATTTCCTATTTAATGTTGTCTACTGTAAGAGTTAACTACATATTGATTAGCTTTTGCTTTAATATTTACAGTTAGGTTAGAAATGTTTGTATTGAAGCTAGACTGTAACTGAAGCGAAAAAATTAATAAAAAAAAGCATTTGCAATATTTTACTGCTAATTCATATATCCAATAAATCGAAATTCTTCGCTTAAGTTTTTCATATGCAAAATTTTTCAGGAAGTTGGCGGAAGATTGGCGTAACGAGCTGAGTCAATTTAGCTATGTCCGTCTGTATATACGCGAACTAATCCCACAACTTTTGAGATATCGATTTAAAATTTTGCACACGTCCTTTGCTCTCCAAGAAGCTGCTCGTTTACTCAGATCACAATAGAATACAGCTGAAACATAAACTGACAAGATATCAGTATCTTCCCGAATTTTGGCGGGAATTACTGTCGAAAGAAACGCGGCCATTTCCGGCTAATTTTTAATACGGAATTACTATAGCATGTAGCCGCCGTTCAAACTAACCGATCAAACTCAAGATAAGGACTTTCAAAACAGATATTTTTTTGCAATAGTTAACCTTAATTCGACTTGAAAGGTGTTGATGTCAAAACAACGTGATTAGAAACCACTAACGAAACGTATTTCGTTCGATGCAAACCGTTGGTCGGATACGTTTTCAGATTTAGCTGTACAAAGAGTTGCTATAATAAAATCACCAGAGAAGGGTATTATAACTTATTATACATACACTCTCATAACGACATAAAAAGCATGAAAAGTAAGATCTTTTTTTAAATAAATTTAGCAAATTATTGAACAAACATTTATAACCTCTTGAAAGCGACCTACAGTCATTTCGCTATAATTCACATTTTCTAAAATAAATAACGCAAGTCTCTATACATAATTCTTGTGGAATAAGTGTTGCGCTGTGCTTTTTTTAGAGTTATGGTTTTGAAGTAGAAATAAAACGCATATAATTTAATGTTATGGCTAAGAACTTAGCATTATTATAAAGATAAGGGATTGCCATTATGTTTCACAAATAATTTCGAGCACGTGAGCACCACGCTGGCTCCAATAAATTCCAGCCAATATTTGACAAAATCAAAGAATAAATTACCTTATTAGTTAACGATTTTTGTAACAAAAATATACATTAATAAATATTAGTTAACTTTGAAGAGCATTCGCTATCTCTAATATCCGCCATCCGAGTTACTCTATTCTTTTTTTATCTATGCTGTAGCGAACAAAAGTTATGTCAACAAACAAAAGTTTTTTTGGTTTCACAAGCCACCACAAAAATAGAGGAAGAAAACCAAACTAAAAACAAAATCAAATCCATGCACACCTTTTAAAGTTTACATAGAAAATATATCGATTTTTTATAACACTATTTCCCTTTTCGATCAGCATTGCTTTATTTCACTAGTCATGTAATGAGTTGGTAAAACGGAAACAAAATTGGTTCCATTATAATCACATATACATATACTCATATTTACATAGAGGCAGTATAACAGTAATCATTATACTATATATTAGGAATATTTTTATTGATTTGAGACTATTTACATGGGAAATTTGAAACTCTGTGGTTTAAGTTTTTATGATATTATTTTTTTAAACTTTTGTTTGTCCTAAAAGAACAGCAGATATTAAATAAGTATAAATTACATGCAGCAACATTATATACAATATATTTAAAAATTATATGTTTTATATATTTTTAAGTTTTAAGGAAACGTCAGGTCATGATTTACACATCTTTTTTGTTGTATGTTCCAATGCATTATGAAAAGTCTTGCACACTACTACCCGATTATCATTATGGCGTTATATTATATTGAAATAATACATATCAATGGAGACGTAAATAATACATAGATATCACATAGATAGCCAATTCGATTCGAAAAGGGTTATCAAAAATAGCTATAAACAAGAACTTAACTTCGGTTGCATCGAAGATATAATACCCGCACAAATACAAAAGGTTTTTTAGAAGAACTTGATTCTGATCAATTTCTGCGGAGATTCCATTATTATCTTAGGTAATCCGTTCCAAATTTCGTGAAGATATCTCGTCAAAGGAAAAAGTTTTCCATGCAAACACTTGATTCCGATCGTTCTGATTATATGGCAGCTATGTGCTATAGTGGCCCGATATCCGACAAAAGAGCAGCTTCTTGGTGAGAAACGGTCATTTGCTAAATTTTAGATCCATATCTCAAAAACTGAGAGACTAGTTAGCATATATACAGACGGACGGACACGGCTAAATGAACTCAGCTCATCATGCTGATCATTTATGTATACATTTTATAGGGTCTTCGACGTTTCCTTTTTGGTGTTACAAAATTCCTCACAAACTTAATATACCCTGTTCAATGTATAAAAATGAAACGTTTTTCATTGGTTTGACTACATCATGAAAACCGTGTGTAATAAAAGCGTCACCGGCCTTAACTGATGTTATCTTGAGGCTGTTTAATTATACACCCCAATTATTTTCATATGTAAATGCTTCAAACATTAACTATGATTTATAACATTTGCTTTTAGCACTTTTTATATTTTCCTCAGTTTTCTCTTCATTCATACTACTTCTATATGAACAATATACAATATGATGTTATATCAACCCTTGCCTTAGGGACTCCCAGTGGTGTTATCTTCGCACACATAAATAAAAATTATACACTATCATTCAAATCCACACATTATTCTATACAAATTCAATTAATTTAAACAAATGTCCTTAATTGTTACAATTATATCAAAAAAAAAAGAGGACAAAAGAAGTTGAAGCTTTGCGCACACTTAAAAAACTGGCAGCCTTAAATGTCAGCGATTATAGAAAGTGATAATTTCATTGTAATGTATTCACATTTGCACCTGTGTAACATCATAGTCTACCATTCAATGCCTGGGTAGATATTCTAAATGATTATAAAATATTCTTGATGCTCAATGAGAACCATTTCTATAACAGCACACAACAGTAATTATACCCTAGAAGTTTGGCACAAAGTTTGTAACACCCAGAAGCTGGCGTTTTCTTCCCCTATAAAGTATATGTATATATGAGTATACATACTTGTATATCGTATAAATTAGCAACGAGATAAGCTGAGGGAAATTAGCCATGTCCAGCTGTCCCTTAGTTTTTGAGATAGTCCCTTTTCTCACCAAGAAGTTTCTCTTTTGTCAGATCCGCCGATATTGGACCACTATAGCATATAGCTGCCGTACAAAAATAGATGAATCTCCAGTCCCTGTATGAAAAACTTTTTATTTGGCAAGGTATCCTTACGAAATTTGGCACAGATTATTGGATAATGGAACTTTGCAATTGTTAAGGTCGGATCACTACATCATATAACTGTCATTCAAACTGATCGATCAAGATTAAGATCTTTTTATACCTATTCACGTTAAGGGTATTATAGCTTCAAAGCAGCCGAAGTTAACGTTTTTTCTTGTTTTTAATTAAAATGTTAACAAT